CTCTTTAAAACCTTTTCATTATTATTTGGCAAGAATCAAGCCCTTTAAATTTCATTGATTCAATTTCCCTATAACTCATTGTCAAAGAAATTTGTGTAGAATGGAAGGTAAGAGTTATATGTAGCTTACCTGATAAGTTATCGATCAGAAGCACCTTCCAATGGCCAAAAATAGCTTTCTTTAACTTCTCAGCCCCTCTTTTCTCCTTCTCTTGTGTCTTTCTAAAATTTACCTCTATGAAATTTCATGATTTATGAAAGCAATTCTAGTCCATGTGCTATGGTGCATGCAGCACAAGCCACGATGCGTGGTACAATGAGATTTCTTCTCATCATGCACACTTACTTCAACCCGAAATGCACTCCTTTCACCATATCTGCTCATACAACACACCGATGAGTCAAATCATTAAGTAATCATTCAAATTTTTAATCACACACTAATTATTACTCTACCCTCAATTAACCACTAATCTTAGGATTAAAAAATTTAGGATTTTACAGCTCATGCATGCCAAGCTGTGGCACCTCCCTTTATTTCTTGTTGTTTGGATTTTATAAATTTTCTTGCAATTCTTTTAATGTGAAATGTTATCCCATCCTTCCTTAATTATTTTAATCTCTATTTTAGATCAATTGTTGTCCTTGGAAATAATTTTGAATGGTTTGATAATTTGGATTCCTAATTTATGAAAGAATACCATTTGAATTCAATAGTGTTTTGAAAATGATTAATGGTAGGGTGATAGAACATATTTATTACCCACTTTTATTTGTCAATTAGGACCATTTTATTAATGATTTATCACCTTCAAGTGCACACATTGCATTAGATTTGGAACTTTGCCTAAGTTTCTAGGTTCAGTGCACTAGGGGCATTTTGGTCCAAAAAAATGAACTTTTGAGAAAATGTACAAGAAAAATTTACAAAGTGCATTTTATGTCTATTTGATGAATGGTAAAATTATATTTTTAAAATTCATTTTAGTTTGGGAGTAATTAAATAAAAAAGTCAACACTTTCTTAAGTGTCTTAGTTTGTCCTAGTTTTTGGTTTGCCTTTATGTGAAAATTTTTATATAATTTTGTGCAGCCTGAAACTTGGTTAATTTAATAAATTCTCCCTTCTAATTATGAATTTAATTTTGGACATGAATTAGATTTTATTATATCATATGTTATTTAATTGAATTATGTGATTTATGTGACATAGGTGGCATGTGACTTGTGCATCAATTGGGCAATTGAGGTCAACACTCCTTGAGGTCAATGGCTGATGCTTTGCATGTGAATTATGATTATTTTGAGGGGTTAAATCAGCTAAAATGATGTGGATGACACATGGAAAATTAGACACACATTGGAATCATCTACAAACCAATAGGAAGTTGCCACCTTACAAGTGTGACAAGGCTCCCATTTACATTTTAATTTCTTTTTCCTTATTTTAATTAATCTTCAGCTGATGGGAGACACCAAGGAGCACACCATTTTAAGCCCCAAATGGGATCCAACACATATCTCATTCATCTTCCACATTCTCTCTCTCTTGTTCATAGTGTTCTTCATTTTCTCTCTTTTGTTCTTCATTTTCCAGCACCCTAACCTCCATTTTCAGCCACCAAACCTCCATAAAACTCATACCATTCTTCTCCTCTCTTCATTTTCGTTCCATCCCTTCCATTTTCATAAGGATTGAAGCTCATTTCCATCATTCAAGAGCTATGGAGTTTGGCCTTCACAAGCAATCACTAGGGTTCTTGAAGATGAAGATCGGCTAAGTTTCTTTGTGGAATCCTAGAGAGATGAAGATGGAGGATGAGTCTTGAGCTTCAAATTGGCTAAGTTCTTTTGTTTCCTATCCTCTTCTCTTTTTACTAGATGGTTAGATTCCTTAATCTAGGGTTTAATCATCTTAGCTTATAAATTCTAATTTGAATTTGATGTTGATGTAAAGAGAGAGGATTGTTTCATTTAATTTCTTCCTTGAACAGCCATGATTGAATTTTGCCAGTCTTTGTTTGGCACATAATCTTGTGTTTTTCAATTAGTGAATTTCTTATGTTAATATTGCATAATCTTGTGGTGTTAATGCTTGTGTTGTTGAGTAGCTTGACATAATCTTGTGGTTGCTCAATTTATGTGTTTGACCATGGCTATTGAGAGACGATTTTGAGTGAATCACTTGGCTAATGTCTTCACCAATTGGTTAATTAAACTAGGGACTTTAATTTAAGACCTAGGGAGGTTAGCTAATTAGGTAAATTGGCTTAGGATAATTTTCTTAAGTCATGATAGCTTTAGTCAAGAGGAAAGGGAAGCTAAACTTAGCCTAATTATGAGAAGATAATGAGTCCAAAATCAACTAATCTCTAGGGTTCCATTATTATGAAAAGGGAAGTTCATTTCACTCACTTTCACTAGCATTTTAATTACTTGCACATTAGGTAATTAGCTAGGTAACTAAATTCCTACAAACTTTGGTTGATTTATTTCACTAGATAACTTTCAGTTAGACTTAAAACCATTCCTTGGGAGATGACCTAGGGTTGGCCCTATATTGCATTAGGGTTAGCTTTAGTGTAATTTTGAGGATAAGCGACTAATTTCCTATCATAGGGTAACTTGTTGGAGTTAATCCCATAATTACCTAAAAGTGTTAAACATGTGCATTAATAAGGAAGACCTTACACCTTCTAACAAGCATTTAATGTACTTTGCAAAAAAAAAGTGCTTTTTCTAGTATTCTTCACTCTCACATGTCTTCAATGGCTATAAATTTTACCCTAATTGTTCCTAACGTCTCGTTCAGTGTAAACTATAAATATGACCTCATTTAAGTAAGTGAGTAACACATTCGTTGAACATTAAGTGATTTGCATTGAATTCTTACCAACTTTTTGTTATTTCTGTAAAAAAGCTTTCTTTGTTATCATATTTACTCTTTTAAAGAATCTTTGTGTTTAAAAGCTTTTTCATTAGCTTATTTGAAATTTTAGAAAGAGATTTTCCTAAATGTTTATAACAACTTACTAATGTTGTAAATATTGTTGTGAAATCAAAACTAATGCAGTATTGTGGTTGTACTAAGGTAACAAGAACCCAATTAAGATTGTGATTTTAGTGAAAAATCTCAAGGGTGATCTTGAGGACTGGATGTAGGCTAAGTGATTGACCTAAACCATGATGTTAGCAATTTAACAATTGATATTACTGTTTAGAATTAAACAACTGATGTTAAATCTTATATAATTATTAACATATTAACTCATGTAATTTGCAACTTATATTAGTAAATTAATAAGTGAAGTAAAAAAAATTAACAACTAATAATTTTGCATAACAAGTAAAGAATACTTTGTTCATTTCACAATTAAAATTATTTTCACTTTTATCTCCTTGAACCAAACTAAAGCTTCAAAATTTTTTTAAGACCCACCAATTATTAAGTCACATCCTTGGTCCTTATTTAAAATTCTCCCTAAAAATTAAATGTGTGTGTGTGTGTAATCATCACTACCAATATCTAAATATAACATATAATCATCACCAAGTTTTTCATCGATATCTTTGACTTTTAATTGGCACAATGCTATCTTAAAAGTTTAAAAAGTAGTTCAATTTTGCCCTAAAGTAATATTTGATCAATGTTGACCATTAATTGAAAATTTTGAGTAGGGTTAAAGCGCAATTTTGCCCCAAAGTATTTCTAAAAGAGCAATTGATATTCTAAATTTTTAATTAACGCAATGTTTTTATGTTATTAATGTTTAAATTAAAAGAAAATTCTAATGATCCATTATTAAAAATGGTTCATATTTCTAGATTTTGAGCTAAGGTTTTACTTAAGGTTGCTTCTATGCAAAATCAACTCTGCCCCAAATATTTCACATACTTTCTCTTGAAGTCTGGACTTGCTCTCATTTTGCCCATGAATAGGTCTCAACTTGCACATGCTTAAAAATAAACTTGTTCAGACCTACCAATAGGCAACATAGACTAGTCTATATTTGGACTTGAAGGTGTTTAATGTAATTCAACATAAAATTTTATTTTGATTTTATGTTATAAGTTGTTGAATCTTTTTTATGATTTGAAAGTTAATAACAAAAAAATATTGCACCAATAAAAGTTTAAGATAGAAATTATTCTGTTAGACAAACTTCCGAAGCAAAATTGCCTTTTAACACTAAAAATAATTATCAATGTTGGTCACATGTTATTGTAGGGCAACATTACATCATTTTTTAAACTTTTGAGATTACATTGCACCAATCAAAAGTTAAGAATACTACTTGTATCTAGCAAAAAACTTCTAAGGAAAACTTGCTTGTTAATCTTATAAATTATACAGGTAGCTACATGGATTAAGTACTACTCCTTTTGATCTTTATTATAAGGTGTTTTCAACTACTTTTATCATATTAAAAATACTAAAGAAGGATAGTTAACTCATTAAATATATTTTGAAATGATTTATTTTTTTAATTTTACCCCTATTAAAATAGAGAGAGAGAGAGATACAAAATATGATGAGTCATGAAATTAAATTTATAATAGGTGTAAAATTGGACAATGATAATAAATAAGTCTCCTTGTATTTTTTATATTAAATATTAAAGGATCTTTTTAAAAGGTATCCTAAATAGGAATAAAAGGATGTAAAAATTAATAATTAAGAATATAATTATTAATATCAATATTTAATATGAATGTAAACATATTAATTTTATTGTAGCATATAGAAGATGTAGCCACTCCATCAATTATTGTAAATGAAAAAAATAATATAATCTATTTTACATTCTTTTCAAATGGAAGGACGCTTTTTGTTTTTATTTGATGATTGATCCAAGTATAGAACAGAAATAAGATATGGATAAGTTTTAAATAGTTGGGCCTAAACTGTGCAGGCTACTCTTGATGGGCTGGAGCTCATACAATCAAGAACTCAAAAAATAGTTGGGCCTAAACTGTGCAGGCTACTCTTGATGGGCTGAAGCTCATACAATCAAGCACTCAAAAGCAGCGTCTGTCTCCGCCACGTTCAAATTTCATTTCACGCTCTTCGAATCAAATTTACGAAGAGAAAACCGCACGAACACTCCCTCCCGTTCTATCATCTTGTTCCTTCTTCAGATCGCACTGTTTCTCTCCAAGATATACTTGTACTACATCCCCGTTCTTCTTTTTCTTCCTCCCCGTACTCTGTGTTCTTCCCTAGCGGATTAGGGTTTTGATCTCGTAGGCCAAGTTTTATTTTGAACAAGTGTTTGGTAATTCCAATGTCGGCCTCAACCGTTTCGATTACAGCGGCAAACCCGACTGCGCGTCGGAGACCAGTTGTCTCCACCGAAAGGAAGACTACAAACATTGAAATGCTGGCTAACGATATTGGTGTTTCCCCGGTTAATGCTAACCCCGACGCAGGCGGGGATGAAAGAGTGACATCCGCCGGAAATGGGAGAGATTTGAGTCACCATTCTATTCGTGGCGAGGCAGTGCTCGAGAGATCTTCTAAGGATTTCGTGCAGGCCAAGAAAGCCGTGGGAAATTCGACAACTGTGCAACGGCGAACTCGTAAGGTGCTTTCGAAGCCTGATAAGCCTCGCTGGCTCACAGTTTTTAGTATTTTTGCCAAGAATTTCTTGCTTCTTGCTGTTCTTTTGGGACTGGTTCAATTGATTCGGAGACTGGCTTTGAAATCTGGTGAAAGTGCGGTGGGGCCTCAATCAGGATTGTTGGAATTTGAGGGTCGAATCGCGGATGTGGAATCACTGTTGAAAACAACGGCAAAAATGATCCAGGTGCAAGTTGAAGTTGTGGACAGGAAGATTGAGAATGAGATTGGGGGTTTGAAGAAGGAAATGAATAAGAAAATTGATGATCAGGGAGTCATTTTGGAGAGCGAGTTGAGGAAATTGGGGGCCAAGAGTGAAGGACTTGAGAAGTCGTTGGATGATTTGAAGGCAGTGGAGTGGTTATCTAAGGAAGAGTTTCACAAGATTTATGATGAGCTGAAAAAGTCAGAGGGCGCTGATCCTGGTGAGGCAAGCTTGGATGAGATAAGAACGTATGCAAGAGAGATAATTGAGAAGGAAATTGAGAAGCATGCTGCTGATGGGCTTGGTAGGGTGGACTACGCACTCGCAAGTGGTGGGGCCACGGTTGTCAAGCACTCAGAACCGTTTATAGTGGGAAGGGGAACAAATTGGTTCTTACTACCCGCAAAAAGTGGTGTTCATACCAATGCTGATAAGATGTTAAAACCAAGCTTTGGAGAGCCAGGTCAATGTTTTGCCTTGAAAGGGAGTGCTGGGTTTGCGCAGATCAAGTTGCGTACAGCTATTATTCCAGAGGCTGTCACATTAGAGCATGTTGCAAAGGTGATGTCTTTATACATGTGCCTATTTCAATGTGGGTATGCTTTTTATTTAGTTTCAAAATGAGAAAGTAAGTCATTTTCTATGCGTTTATGTTGATTGTATTGGGCCAATCCATTCCTCTTCTCTGTTTGTGGCAAAGTAAGTTTATTGATTAGCATGATGTGCTATGAAACTAGATTGAACTTCTTGAGTAGTCTTGGCATGTCAATTAGATACAACTAGTTTACAACTACGCTTTTTGTTTTGGGTTTTTAGTACTGTAGCTTGATGCTTCTAGCTTGTAGAGGGCATAATGTGCTTTTAGCATTCCTGTGGCATTAAATACTTTGCTTTTTGAAGATCGACTAAGCAGTTGATAACTTAGCTTCAAGTTTTATTTGATGAAGGAAGGAAACATATATAGGATGCCGAAGCTCTTTGCTGCCTCATGGTGTCTGTCTAAGCTAGATTAAATATAATTAAATGATATCTTATCTAATAAATCAACTAGATTAGATATAGCGATAAAAGAGGAAAAAAACAATAAACAAATAATAAAACATAAACTAATAATTTAAACTCTGTTTTTGGCCTGGGAGCCTTTCTTTGCTGTCCATCGTTTTCCAACACTACCCCTCAAGTAGGCAAATAGATATCCATTATCCCTAGCTTGCTTCTTAGTTCTTCATGCTTCTCTCTTGCCAAGGCCTTAGTGAGTATATCAGCTCTTAGTTCCTCATTGGTGATAATGGTTGTTTCTGCCTTTTCTTCCATTTTGTTCTCACCCCCCGTCGCAGCAATTATGTTTGCCACTGGGTCTCCAGTAAAACCAGGTTCTCATCATTTGTTTTTCACTTTCTCCCCTCCAATCACATTCGCTTGAAATTTCATCTCCTCCACTGCTTCAACCTCTACATTAGCCTCCTTAACTTCAATTTCAGATTCGTCTACATCTCTGTCTTCTTCTTTCTCATCTGTTGCAGCATCTTTGCCTTCCATTTTTGCCTTTGACTTCTTTGCCTCAACAGACTAAGCACTTCCCCAGTTTCCATTGCTGAAGGAATAAATCATATTTATTAAGAAAAACTCCCATGGATGGTATGTCTCTGATACCAAAGTCAATGATAGAAAACTACCCAAAGTGTAAGTCTAAGGTAGAATAGCTACAAGTTACTGGAAAATAGAACAATAAAGCAAAAGCTCAAACACACTCACTGGTTCCATAAAATTCAAGAGGCTAGAGCCATCACAGTACTCACTATCCGCTTGCTTAAACCCCTCCCAAACCTCACTCCCTATTTTATACAACTAATAGCACTTTTCTGTCTTAGTCACACACCTCACACTTCACGTGACTTACCCTTGGCCCATTAAATAAGATGCTATTAGCCAAAGGTCTGACAGTGTATTTTGGGGCCATGTCAATCCCTTGAATTATATCAATTAGAATTATTGATACAAGTAACTTGGATTGGGTGGTTTTTTTTTTTATAAATTGTTTTTATTAAAAAAAAGAAAGAATGGCAGGTTTGGCTAGTTGAGCCAGTTGAACTGTTGAATGCTTGTGTTCTTGTTGGCTGTTGACCATCGGAGTTTAGACCTATATTTGATGTTTTTCATGTCTCTTGTGGATGGGTTCATTTAGGTTGTTGTACTAGGTTCACTGCCAGTCAACCCTAGAATCACAGATTTTGTGAAGTTCTTCCATTTTTTGAAACGTATTTAGTTTGACCCTACCTTTCATGTTGTTCTGGGAAGTTTTAAAGATAAGAAGCTGACTATTCATTAGGTATTTGAACTTATTGTCCATGGACTTTTGGTGTGATTCACTTGATACCCAAGTGATGTATGGTTTGCATTTGCATATTTTGTTTTTTCTCCTCCCTTTATTTTATACTCCTGTCTTTCAGCTTTATTGAAGGGTGAGAAAAGGGATATAAGCATGATTACTAGATAAATTATTACATCATTTTGAGTTTCTACCTAATCTCGGCTTTTGAGATCAACAGTTAGGCAAAAACAGTAGATTCTCTTGAATATTTGTTATTAAACCAGTCTGAGTCCTGGAGATACTGAAGTTCTTTAGGGTCTGGGCATCTTGAACGGATTTTCCCCCTCCTGGAATGGATCAAATTATTTTCAACTACAAAACAATCTACTGTCAAATTGTTTGGGTAAATTGAAGACTTGTATGGCCACAGACTAATGTGTAGAACTGGTCATTATGTCACTAGGAACTGTTTGCCCTTTATTGTTTGAAGTTAAGGGCTTAAATTGGCTGTAATCATGCCATTTCTAGCACGTTCGGTGCTCGCATGTTACTGTTGGGTTCTAACAGGCGAAGCCATGCATGACCAGAAATTCTGTCTTTTGTAACAAATGTTTTGAATAGGATCGAGCTGCCAAAAACCTCATTCTGAGTTTGTAGAAAGCCAGCCCTCCTCCTGGATTTGTTAATCAAATTTGAAGCCCCACCTCACTCTTGAAATGCCATACCTTGTGTTCTTTCTTTATTTGATACTACAGTGATCACCCAACAGTTTTGCACTCTTTCTTTCAAAGCTTCAGTCTAATTATTGAAGAAGTCAAACTATAAAATAGTCCCTTGTGAAGTTAGCATATGTGTAGACTTTCAAAAGTAGTTTTGAGATAGGAGTTCGATGTTAGCATTTTGAATATGAGCTTGTTCCTGTAGGTAATGATGAGTCATATGACTTTGAATAACATTATACCTGTATTATGTTATAATTGATATTTGTCAGTTTTTGACTATTTTTATATTTCATTGAATCCTACAATTCAAATATACTTTTATTCGCCATAAAAAAATGGACTTGTTGGTTAAAAGGAATGTTTAACTTTTGATTTGCAATTTATCTGTGATTTTGATAATCTTGGAAACAGATTACTTTAGATATTGGTCAAAGAAGTTTTGCTAAACAGTTAAATAGCTATTCTACTTGTTTGTTCTGCTAACTGTTGAATAAGTCGTTTGGGTGCAAAATAAGATTTCAGTAGGACATACGTTAATTGAAACTAGCCAAATCAATTTACATTTTGAAGTGGCATGGGCTGTATACTATTTTTATTGAGAGCTGGGTTTGTCCAGCTCAGCTGCAAGTTTTTCTGCCATCTGTGAGTTTTGGGCATTAAAAAGGCCTAAAGTTTTTCCTTAGTGTCTGTTTTTGTGAATCTCCCAAGGAATTGGAAAACATCTCTTAGCTATAAAGGTTTTTTTTTTTTTTTTTTGGTTTGGGATGATTACATTTTCTGTTACTGTTTCTCTTTCTCTTCAATAATTCTCTTGATAATGAAAAGTAAAGAAACAAATGAAATATGAAAAGGGAGGCAATTATTTTTATGAGAAGTGAGCGCTTAATATTTATTAGTAGAAGAATTAACTGGCCGTTTATTGAATGAAGGGGAAAATGAAATTAAGAAAATTTTAAACCTCTAAATATTCATGTCTTGTTTTCTGTTCAACAAAAAGGGATTTTTTTTTTCCCTAGATTAACTTAACGGCCTGTTAGTATATGATGGCTTTTACATATAGGCAAGTTTATGGTGGTAACACGTTTCTTTTCATAATGATCACTTTTATGCCTTTCTCTGGTGACCTATGGTTTTAGAATAACTGACACTGTCTTGGTGTCATTAGTTTCTCATAATTATGTTGCCTTTTTCTATCTAACTCGTGCTTCCCTTCTTCGTCAACATTTTTCTCCATATACTTCCATAATGACAATGGTCGTAGTTCAAGGACTTTCACCCTTAGTTTGGATGGGGAGAAAAAGAGAAGGGAGAAAAATAGGAGGGAAAATTTTCAAAAATAGTGAAAAAAAAAGATTACTATTTTAGGAAAAACTTCCTCATAGTTTTCTCTCCTCCCTATTTTCTTCCCACTTTTCCCTCCATCCAAACCAAACATTAGACTTGAGGTGGTGAGGTTTTGGTTTGGGATCCTGTCTCTCTCAGGGGTGATATGCAAGTGACCTCCATTATATGTTTAAAGTGATCACAATATTCTTCCTTACCTTGCTTAGTCTTAGCAGTGCCAACGATTTTGCTTTCTGACACACACCCACGCGCGCACACATATTGGCAAGTGCTTATAGTTATCTAGATGCCTCTGATTCAAGTTGTTTTGGCACATGTTTGGTTATGTATCAAATTTTGCATTATTATTTTTTTGTGCTAATGTTTTGCGCGTTACCAGAGTGTTGCATATGATAGATCAAGTGCTCCCAAGGACTGCAGGGTCTCTGGTTGGCTGCAAGGGCAGAATGCGGAATCTGTTGTGGAGACTGAGAAGATGTTTCTATTATCTGAATTCACATATGACCTCGAAAAGAGCAACGCCCAGACTTTCGATGTGTCAGATTCAGGCATGACCGGAGTTGTTGACACAGTAAGGCTTGACTTCACATCGAACCATGGAAGTCCCTCGCACACTTGTATATACCGATTTAGGGTTCATGGTCGCGAGCCTGATGCTGTTTCAGTGATGTCGATGCAGTCATTGTGAAGCATCTGTTTCTGGCAATGGCATGAATTGGTACTTTGTTTAGATCTTGTAAGTCATGGACTCTCTAGTTACCAAATGTACTTATTAATGGTTCTTATTAGTGTTAGTGTATTCCTCGTTTTTGTCGATTCCAATGGATTTTGTTGTATATTGTGTACAATGTCTGAATTAGGCATCTGGGATAGCGTGTATTTGGGTGGAGGAGGAATGGGGAATGAGGTTGAAGAGGTGGATTTTGCTTTGTATTTTATTGTTCTCGTGGCATTTTTCTCCCCAAGAAGAGTAATTAATTTAAAACTCTACCATCACTTGTGTGTATTTTTCCCTTTATTATTATTATTTTTTTTAATAAAAGAGGGAAAACCGAATGGTTTGGAGGACACATGTTTGCTTAACTTTATGCCTTTGATAGGGAGAACCATTTTGTTGGTACTTGTAGTTTTCCTCAATTTTCTCTTTTTGTTTCCTCCTTAAACTTTTTTCCGTTAAAGGTGTTAGTTCTTGTAGATTGGAAAATAGCTAGAGGGACCAACTGAGGAAAAGACGACGTCAAGTCCAAAACATTGAGGGGGATTAAAAAATATGAAGTGCTCATGATTTTGAAGGCATCGTCCTTGCCAGTGGAAGTTATCAACGATGATGTTACTGCCCGTAGCAATCAGATGATCCACAGGGCGAGCCATCGAAACGTACACTGATGATGATGGTGCGGAACTCTTTTCTTTTGATCCCTAAATTGTTCAGTCTCTCTCCCTAATCAAACTAGTTGAGGCCTGTCTCCTCAACCTCTAATCTTTTTCTTCACTAGATAATAGATTAGTTTTGGCACCTCTTCACCCTAAGTATGGTTTCATTTCGTGTCAAACGTTTCCTCGTTGACCTGTGTCTTCCTCTGGCTCTCTTCAATGGTGTAGAGCTCTCCCTTCACTGCTGCTTCTTAGATGGCACGACAAAGGGGTCCCTTTGTCAAGAACATGAAAACAATCTTGGGAACATGCGCACCCTGGAATTTCTTCCTCTTTGGAACCATTAAAACTCGCTAGAACAACTCTTAATCATCCATACTGTGCATGAGAGGCTGCTGGGTATATGATGTAGATCCGCTTAGACTTGGCTAAATCCATGGCTATGGTAGCGGTAGTTCCGGCAGCCTTGGTGGTGAGGAAGGGAAAAGTTCTTTTAGGTTCAATGAGAAGCTTTTAAAGTATACACCGATCGTGACATCTAATGACAATCCTAAAAGTTGGGTGACTAACGGAGCGTGCTTCAGTTCATTTCCCATCGTGAAAGGAGTGATGGGAAGAACTAGAAGAGGTTCAAACAAGATGGGATATATTACTTACTGCTACATAAGGCTCTTCAAAATGCTGGGATGTTGTAGCAGAAAAACAGAGATACCAAGCTTACCATTGGAGATCACAACCCTCTTTCTAGTGCACTGATATCGGCCTGTTGCATGAAGATTGCCATGCTTATTGGTGATTGCAGATTGTCTTGTGGCACGAATAAAGATTGCTTGTTGAGATCCCAAATTGAAGCGTGTACAAAGCCTCCTAGCTCTTTCTTGATTTTATGATTTAACGTCGTCTTCTCCTCCGTTGGTCCTCAGGCAATTTTCCAATCTACAAGGGCCAACGCAATTAACAGAAGAAAGTTGAAGGAAGAAACAAAAAGAGAAAAAAAGTAGGTTACAAAATTGAAAGTTGAGGAAAATTATAGGTATTAACAAAATGGTTTTTCCCTCTTTGATATTATAGAACTTTTTTCTGCATGCAAAAACAAAAGTCATGCGCTTTGCCTTTACTTCAGTCTTCGTTTCCAAACTGTATTTTTTTATGTGTGAATGTTGCTAAAGGTTACTAAGATAATCTGTTTTGATTTCCTGTCTTTATTGTTTGAGTGATTATATGGAGCTTTTAAAACTTAACCCAAATTCAATTTTTAAAAATTAAATAAAGTCAATTAAAGATGCAAGTTTCGGCAGACAAAAAATTATTGCTCTACTCACATCTCATATTTTCTAGCATAGTATAAAAATTTAGATCAACTTGCTCAATTGAAATGATAAACTGTTAAATTAATTTCTTAATTAGTTTAATGAAATGTTTTGTCTATTACAAATTTGACCACAATTTAATTATGGTTTTGACCATTAATCATTAAATTAGTGCCTTGACTAATTCAATATTTCAATGACTAGTCTGATTTTTAATACCTTATTTTTTAGTGAAGAGATTTTATATTTGCATATGCTTTCTTTTTTTTCTTTTAGAGTAAGTATATTTTTTATTACCGCAACTTCAATTTCATTCTCATTTTTCTAGGGTTTTGTTCAAATATTCAATAAGGGAACCTATATGCATTTGTTCACCCCTATCTCTAAGTTCTATGGAGACAAATCCATTGGTACACTCAAATGTTTCAAATAGTTATAAGACGTATTGATGTAGTAAGCATGAAAGAGATGCATGAATAAATAATTTAGCAAATCTCAGAAACGAAATATTAGCATGAAATCAAGCATGTGTTAGTGCATATTCCCAAGCTTGGTTTTTGGGCATAAGGACACCCTACATACCATCCGAAATTGGTGTACAGTAGAGACAACGAAGAACAATAAATATATGAAGAGAAATTATAAAAAGAATAATTAAAGAAGTACAAAGTAGGTAGAATATTATGGTAAAATAGGTAATTAGATTTTTTCTAGATAAAGAAAAAATTATGAGTGGATCGAAGGAATTTACCAAAATGAGGGCATATTTCTAACCTTAAAAGAACATTTATGGAAGTATTTAAAAATTATCTTTTAATAAAGTTCTCATATTAACAATAAAATTTGATCTTAGAATCTTATGGGATTAATTAAACAAATTAAACCTTTGATGGTTAGGCGATTAAATTAAGGCTGAATCAAAATGAAGTATAAAAATCCATAACATGACCCGCAACGCAAGGAGCATTGATGGTTATTCATCAACTGCTTCTCTTAAACTAATCCCACAAAAAGCCTCCTTCTCACTCCTTAGAGCCATCTTCATCTCTTCGATTTCCTATACTCTCTCCCTCTCTCTCTCTCTCTCTCTATATATATATATATATATTTCTTGGACTGCTATGCTATATGTATTCAACTTGAAGAGAATATGTCCCATTATTTATTTTAATTCTTTTTCATTCTTTTTTAAGCGCAGCTCCACCTAGTTTAAATATTAGAAAAATGACCATAATCTTTAAAGAAAACTACTTTTTTCTTTTTTTGAGAGAAAAGGAATTCATTAATCATGACGAAAAGAAGGCAATGGTCCAAACAAAACACAGGACCAGAGAAAACTACTTTTTTAGTTACTCTTTAACATGTGCCTCATACATGAAAGTGATATACTAATTTTGAATAAAAAATAAATAGTACATGGATTGTGTAAGGTTATTTGTTCTATTATATCAACCGGCTCTTAAAAAATATTATTTACCCAAAGGTTCTTTCAAATAACCATTGTCGGTCTAAAATATAATATAAAATATTTTTTACCAGATAATATTGATTGAAAATGAAAGACACATGGCAAAAAGTCAATATTATTAATTTTTTCTACAAATTATCTTATTAATTGCATTGCAGTGAGACAGATTATATAAAAATAAATAAAGATAATTAAATAGATTGGATTTAATTGAAGGGTAATCATGGAAAATTATATTATAACATTTTTACAACTTTAGTGATGCAACTTACTTTTAACTACTTTTCTTAATTCTTATGAAATACTTCATCTAGTTCTTAATAGCAAATTTTTTAAAAAAGTTTTGTCCTTAATATAATGAGGCAAACTTATATAATTAATTTTTTTCCTTATCTATTTATTTATTTATCATGGTTTGAATTCCTAGGCAGCAATTTATTATAATTATTAATTGAAAAGAAAAAAGAAAAAATTTACATTTTTTTAACAATTTTAAAGATATAACTATCATTTCTTAATAGGCACTAAATTTATTAAGTTTTCCTTACATTAAGGATCAAATTCTAAGTTGGCGAGAGAAAAAAAAAAGGACTAGCTGGGGTAGTTAAGAGTGTTATATATTTTGAAATACAAAAAATATTAATTAGTTCTCTATTTTTTGGCTTAAAATTAAAAACGACCTGCTCAACTCTCCTCATTACCGCCCTTAGCGATCAACAATATTCTTTACACATGTTGAAATAATGTGTTGATGAAGTAGAAGTTGAAATGAGAGGGGAAAAACTTGAAAGTTGCGAAGCATTGAGAATGAAGTGTGTATTAGGAAAACATGGGAATGAAGTACTTAGGGTTTTTTTTGTTTTCCGTTTCAAAAAATTGTTCTTTATTTTTGAAAATTGAAAAATTTTTAGATTAGTGTGTTTGATTTAATTATATTTAATTTTTTTTCATTTTTTTAAAAACAAAAAATAGAAAAAAGTTCAAGTTATTTTTGTTTTATTTTTCTTATTTTTAAAATGAATTACATTTAGTTATCTTGATCAAGTTTTATACAAAATCATCATTATTAACTACCTATAACTATTACTTTCAGTTTATTTTTTTAATTTTAAAATTATTTTTAAATTAATATAACCAAACAGATTTTTATTTTTTTAAAATAATTTTAAAAATCGTATTATAAATAGTTTTTAAAAATAAAAATGAGAAACCAAACAAGACCTTAGCTCCTCTTCTGCTCTCACTTTTCACAAACCATTTACTGTATCTGTATGTTATAAAATATGTCTGAGTATCAATTTATAAATTTGAAGTATTTACATTGCATCTAAACTATTCAAATTGTTAATCAAATTTAACAAAAAAAGATTTTATATTTTTTATTTTAATAAATATAAAATTAAAATTAAAACATTTAACCTTGACCCTCCAATTTTATGGAGGGTCCAGATTTAATAGAAAATCAGCAGAGAGCAGGAGCAGGAGAAGGTGAGTGAGAGCAGAGAAAGTAGAGTCGGAAATGAAGAGGTGGGAAGGGAGACACACTGGCAGGTGAGAGAAGGGACAGGTCTTCCCATTGAATTGAATTTTGCCTTTCAACGAAGTCTTCGCCTATATTTGGTCCTATTCTACGCTTTGTGTTGGGACTTAAGTTAACAAACATGACTGGGTCTGCTTTTTTTTTTTTTTTTAATGTTTTAAATCTTATGTGCCGGACCATCCTGCACTTGGCAATTTGTTATTGCTCATTGGCCCCCTTCAAGGCGTCTATGTTGGGTACCATTTGGCATGCGCATGTCATATATATATATATATATATATATAAAATTAAAGTTTTTGTAAATATAATTCATATATTATAAAATCAAATCAATCAAATAGCTCAATATTTATTATATTTTATATTTTGATTGGTTTA